TACTATTGGTTTGTCAAAACAGATTTACTGTGTGCTTTAGGTCATTGTCATGTTGCATGGTAAACCGTCTTCCCACTGACAACTTTCTGGCAGAGGGCAAAAGATTTTCCTCAAGAATTTGACGGTATTTTTCCCAATCCATTTTTCCTTCTATCCTGACAAGTGCTCCAGTCCCTGCTGCAGAGAAACACCCCCATAACAGGACATTATCACCACTGTTTTTGGATGGTGAGCTGTATTGGATTTCCACCAGACATATTGTTTAGTGTTAAGGCCAGATAATTCAATTTTAGTCTCATCTGACCATAACACCTTTTTCAATATGGCCTCAGAATCTTCAAGGTGCTTTTTGGCAAAGCTGACTGCATGTGGCCTTTCTTGAGGAGTGGCTTTTTTCCATACAAACCACATTTGTGGAGAAATTGTGATATTGTTGTCACATGCACACAATGACTCTTTCTCATATATTCCTGTAACTTTAGAGTTGCTGTAGCCTCTTGGTCGCCTCTCTGACCAGTTTCCTCCTGGCTCTTTCATCCAGTTTGGAGCGACATCCTGATCCAGGGAGGGTCTGTGTTGCACCAAATACCTTCCACTTCTTAATAATAGACTTCACTGTTCTTCTAGGCATTGATAAAGCCTTTGATTTAGATTTTTTTTTTGGTATCCATCTCCTGACTTGTGCCTGTCCACAACTTTATCCCGGAGATCTTTTGACAGTGTCTTGCCACACATAGTTGATTGTTTGCTTCAGTTAAGGACCAAAATCAGCTCCAGGAAAGCTATTTTCATGCTGAGCTAATCAAAATTACCACAGCTGATCCCAGTTTAACATTTTTAGGAGGGGGTGATCCTTTTTCCAACTCATTGATTCTGTTTTTTATTTTATTTATTTATTTTTTTTTCTGACATGTTGGTGTTATGTCTTTCACTTGGATGTTATAAGTTGCACTTAGTAAATACAGATGAACAAATTGTGTTTGTCTTCTTTTCAGGCTGCAAAGCACATCCAGTTTGGAGCGACGTCCTGATCCAGGGAGGGTCTGTGTTGCACCAAATACCTTCCACTTCTTAATAATAGACTTCACTGTTCTTCTAGGCATTGATAAAGCCTTTGATTTAGATTTTTTTTTTGGTATCCATCTCCTGACTTGTGCCTGTCCACAACTTTATCCCGGAGATCTTTTGACAGTGTCTTGCCACACATAGTTGATTGTTTGCTTCAGTTAAGGACCAAAATCAGCTCCAGGAAAGCTATTTTCATGCTGAGCTAATCAAAATTACCACAGCTGATCCCAGTTTAACATTTTTAGGAGGGGGTGATCCTTTTTCCAACTCATTGATTCTGTTTTTTATTTTATTTATTTATTTTTTTTTCTGACATGTTGGTGTTATGTCTTTCACTTGGATGTTATAAGTTGCACTTAGTAAATACAGATGAACAAATTGTGTTTGTCTTCTTTTCAGGCTGCAAAGCAACAAAATATGATTATTTTAAAGAGGGTGATTCTTTTCTATACCCACTGTACATTTCACTTTTACTAAAGGTTCTAAATTAAGTACCCAGTTGGCTGCTTATCAGATTTTTTTCCTTTCTTTTTTTTCTTTTAGGAATGAACCGATATCTGAGCAGTTGCCATAGATGTTCATATTATGGCAGTTTTATAGCACCCAATGTAAATGTTTGAGAAAACAGATGACATATGGAGTCCTGACTGAACTACTTTGGATATCACAAATCTCAAAGGTTTCCCATTTCAGAAGTTAAAAATGATGTTCAGTACACTGCGCTGGGTGGTACTGGTGGCCTTCATCTTACTGGCCATTTGTGGAAACGTGCTGGTTTGTCTGGCTGTGGCCACCAGTCGGCGTCTGCACCAGATTAGTAGCTGTTTCATACTCTCACTGGCTGTGACAGACTTGCTGCTGGGTTTGCTGGTACTTCCGCTCTCTGCCATGCTGGAATTACGCAATGGGAGATGGCCTCTTGGGGGTGTGTTTTGCAATATCTACATCTCTCTGGATGTGATGCTTTGTAGTGCTTCAATCCTCACTCTACTGGCCATTAGTGTTGATCGTTACCTTGCCATTTCTAACCCTTTCTGCTATCCCAGGAGGGTCACACCTCGTCGGGTGGCGATCACTCTGACTGCGATCTGGACATGCTCTCTGGCTGTGTCCTTTGTGTCTATTAACCTAGGCTGGAACACACCTGACTTCAGAGTACATAACTTGGACTGGGACATGTGGGATGAAGGAGAGGAAGGCAGGACCTGCCGCTATGAATGGAATAACAATTATGTGCTGCTGAAAGCCTTTCTAATCTTCTACCTCCCTCTGCTGGTCATGTGTGGAATGTACCATCGTATATTCTGTGTTGCACGTTAAGTTTCTCCACTTAGGTAGGTCAATGACATGACAATAATTTTGGGGTAAATAAATTAAATTTAGAATAAGTTCAGGAATATATACAGTATATAATGATAACTATGATGACAGAAAATACATTTCTATTAAAAAATACTTTTTCCCTTATTTTATTATTAGTATTATATTTTTATTATTATTATTATTATTATTATTGTGCACACACTTACCCACTACATCTTATTTCATTGCATCCCTCAATATTTCTAGCTTTCTCACTGTCTCTTCATGTCCCACTTTTAGGTGCGGCGTATACGTGCAACCACTCCTTCCTTTGCGCAGGCTGCAAACGCAGTTGCCACTGCTCGGGAACACAAAGCCGCAGTGACCCTGGCCACAGTGCTTGGTGCCTTTGTCATTTGCTGGTTCCCCTATTTCACCTACTTACTTCACATGCATGGGCATGTGGGCAGAGACCCACCCAAACAAACTGACCGACTCTATTGTTCTTTGGTTGGGATACCTCAACTCTGCTCTGAATCCTATTCTTTACCCAGCCTTAAACCGGGATTTCCGTCAGGCATGCGGACAGCTGCTCTGCTGTAGACGTAGCAATCAGGGGGAACTGCCGTTTCTTCCTCCCTTTTAAATCCACATAATCGAATCTTTTGGCACCAGTAATTAAAACTCACCTCACACTGCAGTGAATACATATTACATCAAGTATGCTAATATAAAAAAAAAAGATGATTAGATGATAAGAATGGGCTGCTGGAGACTGATCAATGGCAATGAATAACAATATCAGACTCAAATGTGACTTAAAAATCCAAAATGTATCATGGGTCAAAAATACATAATAGCCTACTGTTCTGACAATGTTTAGAACATGACTTTTTATTAACCTAATGAATCTATGGCTATGCTGTTCTATGTGATACTTAAAAAGTAAGAATGTAAAACCTTTTTCAATAATTCAGTTTGAGAACGTCCTTGTTTCAAAACTTCAAGAGAACGACCTTTAACAGAAATGTGTGTGTTTTATGTGTTTTCTCCTATTACTAGTAGTCTTCCTAGGAGTTCCTAGCTAAGGGTTTTAACTTAGAATCTATTAACTCTTAGGAGCAATACACAAACGCGCAGACACACACACACACACACACACACATACATACAGACAGACAGTAAGAGAGAGCGATTTATATATATATATATATATATTACATTATATTATATTAAATTATTTTGCACATTAGAAGTTTTTACATTCATTTATATAAATTTAAACATTTTTTGAGAAGCAGCATTATATAACGTTGTAGTGTTTCACAATGTTGTCTGGGTACTTAATCAATTACATATATATATTACATTATATTATATTAAATTATTTTGCACATTAGAAGTTTTTACATTCGTTTACATACATTTAAATTTATATTTGAGAAGTAGCATTGTATAATGTTGAAGTGATTCACAATGTTGTCTGGGTACTTTATCAATCACATACATTTTCACTGCTGAAAAGTTACATGGTTTCAAAAATAGTGTTGCCCTTCTGCCTATCACTGAAAATTGAATAAAAATAGATTGTAACTGCATGGCAATAATGCACAGGAATTCATCTCAAACCTGATCAAACTAAACTTTGCAATTTAATTTATTCTGGAATGGGATTAAGTATTCTGGGTATGCCTGTACATCATTGAAGGTCACAAACATGGATGGGTTGTTAGTTTTATCTGTCACACTGTCATAAAGATGAACTCCTTTTTGGAGGAGTATGAAGACCTTTTTTTTCCTTGAGTGAAGTCACCAAAAAGCACTCTGGCAAGGTACGTGCGTTTATGTCCATTGGCATCAGGTTTAAAGTAGCCTTTGGCTGAGTAACTCGGGTCCACAGCAAAATATGTACCATTCCCATACAATGCTCCTAAAGACAGAATAAAAGTCAGTTAATCCTAAATACAAACAGGACTTTTGAATTGGAAAAGACTATGATACATGTTAGCTAGTACCATGCATGCCAGCGAAGCTGCGATTGTTTATCTGATCAGTCGTATTAGGGCCAGTTCCATGGAAGAGATGCTTTTCGTTGTTTTTGTGCTTGTTTTTAACTTCCAGCTCCTCCTTTTTGATCATGTAGTTTCTCCAAAGTGTGCTGTTCTGGACTTTTTCAATCTGTGTAGAAGACAAGAATAAACATTCAGCCTAAGCAATCATTACATCATGGTACAAAATTACAAACTTTCAACTTTACACACATTAGTTGTATAAGTTTGGGTCAAATATAAATGTAATAAGCTGCGTCCGAAATCGCATACTTCCATGCTATATAGTAGGCGAAAAACAGTATGCGAGGCGAGTAGTATGTCCGAATTCATAGTATTCGAAAAACAGTAGGCGAGAAGTACCCGGATGACCTACTACTTCCGCCCGAATTCCGTAGCATGCATACGATGGACACTTTACTATCCCATGAGGCCACGGGAGAGGAGGCGTCATATTCGAAAATGTTTTTTAGAATATGTATATTATTTATTTATTATGTTTATATTATTTATGTATATAGTGTATCTATAATATTTATTTAGGATATGTATATATTGTATGTATTCATTCTCTCTCCCTCTCTCTCTCTATTTATCCAATTGTGTATTATGTATTCATTCAAGTTTATTAATTGATTCATGTCTTTTGTTTGTCCTGTGTATTTTTATGCATTTATTTATAACAATAAATTACTTTATTTCGTTGCTCCAAATGAGCCTCTGGCATGGTGTTCACAGACATGACTTTTTATTCTGAGGTAAAATTTGCTAGCTAAATAGGTGATTGTACCTTATTTGATAAATGATTTACAAGCTGTCGACGAAGGCGTGATCTGCGAGCAGCTGACCGACGCCTCCTCTGAGCTGTTGATCCAATCAACGTTAAAACGCCGATGAAAGCGGTAAGAATAACGTGAAACTGCTGATGTTCGCGCAGTAGTGAGGGCTCTTTAAATTTTGGCGCTGTTGTGAAGACGCATGTCACGTGACAACATCAACATGGCGGATGTTGTACGTCCGAATTCCATTCATACTACTC